TTAAATAAATGCTGGCATGAATGAGGAAAAATGGATCTCAAATACTTTTTAAATATGACTTTTTTCAGACAACCACTAGTCAGGAATCTATACATGCTGAGATTAGAGATCAAACAAATAAACAGTGTACCAATTTGTTGACAGCAGTAGCAGGTGTATGATCTTCTGAATGAAGAATAAAAATCTAATTTTGTCATGACATAATTCAATAACACCTTAGAACTTTCAGTGTCAAAGAACAAACAAATCTTATTTTCCAATTTCTGCAGTCAGCATTTATACATCTGGTGTTTCTGATATACAACCTTTCCAGCATGCTCCAATAATTGCTATCCTACTGATTCAACAACACAGTGAGAATTAAAGTGGTTTCATAAATCAAATCAAACTGACTAAAACAAACAGTGGCTTTAATGCAGAAAAAAAGAACTCCTAGATTACTACTCCAGAATCTAGCATCCATAATTATATGTTAGTTATGTAAATGTCTTATTTGCTTATAAAACTCAATATCCATCATTTTAATGGCTTTGGAGTGAGGATTGTTAGAATTCAGGTGTGGCGTTTGTGCCTTCAACATGTAACAAAAACAAAAGCTATTTTGTGAGTGTTTACAGACTGAAAAATGGAGGCAATCCAATAACATAATTCTTAGTTTCACTGGCCGAGAATCCAAACAATAACCAGTGCATGATGAGCTGTATAGTACAGAGATTCTTCAAAGAGCTTCATAAGCAACCAGGAGTAATTAATACATTAGTAGTTGGTTAAGAAACAACCGGGGGAAGAGTGCAGATGATGGTAAGAGGGGTGAAAAGGACAAGTTCATGACAGGACAAAGGAAAGCTGAGGCTTTAGTCAGAGATGAGGCAAAGAGCTGTAAGAGGTGAGAAATATGGGGAGGTGAATATCAGCGAAGGGGAGCGGTCTATGGGAATGACAGCCAGTCTTGGACGCACTGGAGACACTGACAGGTCTCTCAGAGCCCAGGAATGACGGACTGGAAGTGAGGGTAATCAAGCTATTCAGAAAAATGCTCAGAGACAAAAAGGTTGTAGAGTTGGCTTCAGTTGTGGAAAAGCAGATTAGAGATTCTCTCCCTATAGAAAAAAGGTGGAATAATATGACTTTGTTCTTACTTTTACACATCAAGTATCAAAGTAAGTTTAGAAGCCACATTACACATGTAAAGGTACTGAAGTTTGTTTAGAGACTGCTTTAAATCGCAACAAGGCGTGTCCTCATGTCACATAGTATGTTTCAATGAGTCCCAAAGTTAACACTCTGCAGGTATGTTCAGACCAGTGCAGCTTTTAACATAATGATTACTGTAACAAAGGAAATTAATTTTACTTAAAATGTTTTTGGGAGAAAAGAAACACTGCTTGCTTAAATATTGAATTCAAAAGTATTACAAATAAGTTAGATCCCACCTTACGCAACGTGAAGAGACAATTTTAATGTGCACATCCATAGATGAATTTGTCAGTTAAATAAATTCTAGTTTAAAAAGGTTCTGCTGGAACTGGGTACAGGAGGTCTGGTTGCTTCTAATCAAGATGACCTTTGGAGAAAGTATAGGAATAAAAGCAAAGTAAACATCCATTATGCATTTTATTTCAAATGTAGAGCAATAGTATTTCCACCTTAATTAATAGTGTTTTTATCCCATCATTATATTCTATATTCCTTTGTGACTTGGAAGGTCTTCAGCTTAGATTTTTCAACTCTGCAACTGACAACATTAACATGGGTAGCAAAAGGTAATCTTTAGGTTTTCAAGGTGAGATTGGAAAACTAAACACTTTGACAGGAGCATCTATAGAACCAAGGTTATTTCATGTTGAAAGAAAGAATAAGCAGTGAAATGTAAAATAAATTAAGGGCAGTACAGTCAAGAAGCTATTGAACAGTAGTTACTAAATATTGGAAGGAAATATGACTGAAGCACAATAATGAGCTAAATTACAAGATGCAAGCTTAGAACACTAAACTTGCAAAGCACATGAAAAACTCAGAGGTTGAACTAAAAAAGGTTGAAAGATGAGGAAGATCAGGCGTTCGTACTGCATAAAATTAGGAATGATTGATGAATAATGAAACAATGAGGAGGAAAGGAAATGATCAAAGACCGGAGAGGCGAACAGTAGAAGAGAAAAGATTTCCCCCCAAAAGAATATCACTGACAAGTCTGTTAGTCAGAGTGTTTCTACTATACAGAAGAATGAATGTCTAAAGCCACTGGAGACCGGGTGCAGCTGAGTGGAAACAAAGCTCTAAGAATAATGGACATAATGTAGGAATAAAACCCCAATGCAGATTTCAATTCTGTCACTTTCTCTCAGCTCTAATAGCCCTCTCTCTACTTCTATTGTAAGGCAACAAATTTCTGTCACAAAATGTAGATGGAGGCAAAAGGTTTCTTTTCCTTAGCTTGAGATAAAAAAAACCTTTTACAACAGCAGACCTGAGACCTTTGCCTCATGTTTAATGAACAAATTTAAGTGATGACCGCACAGCCACCAGGGAAAGTGACCATCCTAACCTCAGCAGATAAACTAGAAACTGGCTGCAAGAGTCTAACTTTTGCATAAAGCTCTCATTGGGCATTAATTGAGGCATGATTGGTAGCATTAATGTCTGATTTATGTTAATTTGATTTAGAAACTACTGACAAACATGAAACATTTCACTTTTGCTCACCATGACACTACAGCTGGATATATTGAAGCAAAAGCAAACCAATTTGTACATTAGCCAGGTCTGCTTTTCCTAACCTAGTATTAATTTTCAAAGCCTGCTTGAATATTTAAACAAAAAAGGACCAACCTAAACTCTGTTCCAATTCCCAGTCTTCACTGTTAAAACGTTAAACACATCACATCCAACAGAGGTAGTAGCAAGCTTATGACTAATGTAACCTAAAACAGTTTTGCTTCCCGTTTTGACCAGAAGGATGCATTTTATTTAAAGTGAATTATTTTTTAACAAATTAAATCTAAAATTAAATCACAGACTGCGTTTAAAGAAAATTATATTTTCCAATTTGATTTCTCATTTTAATCCCCTAAAGATTGATTAATTTAACCAAAGTTAGATTTTTTTTATATTAATTTTCTACTGTTCTTCCAGCTGCCATTACCTACTATAACTTTATAAAATTTCTGTTGAATGTTAGTGGAATACCATCATTATTTTAATATCTACACAGTGATTCAGGGCGCAGCTAAAAATACTTTGGTCCCATCATAAATTGGATTGCTCAGAGTGAAAAGTACATATTCTAAATCTTGAGAAACTCAAGAAACTTTAAAGCTAATGGGAATCTGTGTTTAAGATGTAGGGAGAAAAGTCCATCTTCATAGAGCCAAAAATATCAGAATTATAATTTATTAGATCCTCGTGTTTACAGTTTAAATTATTAGTTATAAAAGTTGACAATGCTCTACCCACACTAAATCAACAAAAGGTGGCAAAATGTATGACAACTGCAAGGCCAACATTGGTGCGCTCAACATTATTACAGAAATTTATTTTATCCAATCCAATGATCATTTGCTGATGTATTCCATCAATTACAAGTAGAGTTTAAAAACAAAACTAAAAATAAAGAAATTTCAGTTGTAATAAAACAGTCAGAAATCACTGTTTAAGTTATTCATTTCAGATAAGGACGCTTCACCTGGAAAATGTAGGCTAATAGATATCTAGTTGGAACGTTCCAATCCAATATTGATATCAGTTCGATGCAAGCCAAAAAAAGAATCTGACTACATCCACAAACTCCAATATAAGCAAACAGCCAATAGCCTGTTCGATTCAACATTATCCTGCAGCGCTTGTATCCCACACACGGAGCTAATGTGCTTTCTATAACAGCAGACATTACATTACTGGACTAGTGTGTTGCTAAACTTTTCATTAATATATGAAAACATGACGACAGAGATCTTTGCATGCACAAGTTAAGATTCTCTAAATTAATATTTTCTTTAATTCAATATTTTTATATATACGTTTAAAGCTGATGTCACCCATTGGTTAATAAATGGGTCTTTAAGAATACAAGTAATATTGTTTATGTTTGAGTAATATAACGTGATTAAAGCCTCTAACGCTCAAGAAAATTATTAGACAAAGTTCAGAGCTGCATATTGGTATCAAAAATTAATACGTTGTATCATGACAACCTTAATATATGATGTTGATATTCCTGTTATGGGTGCCACTTTTAGCAGGGCTTTGTAAGAAGATTACTTGCAGCACAAAATGTACCCAGATTTTGCAGCCTTTTGAGAGCTGCTTCCATCAACTAAACGCTCTAACTGCTTCAGCTCATCTACTCTGATGCAAGGTAGGCTTATAAATTAGATACAAATCTTTAAATGTACAAACATGTCAGGAACAACAAACATTCATGGTACGGTGATAAACTGGAGGCACTGCTCAGCTTTATCAGTTTGTGTTTTCGTCTTCAGCCTGAGACACATCTGTGTTCCTCGAGCCGAGCAAATCACACAGATCATCAGTAGAGCAGAGTGCTATTTATAACTTCCATTATGCTCTCTTCTTCAGCTTCCCCATTGTTTCTCACCCAGTTGGACCTCATGCTTCACCTTCTCTTTACACCAACTCCACCTGTGCAGGCCTTTCTTTTATTCCCAAATCATCTCCCTACAGACAATTTTCCCTTACACTCGTCACAATTTTCTCTGTTCGCATCATGTAAACCTTATTGCCATTTCTTTTATTTTTAGCCCGTTTCTGTTTGACACAATATGTTGAGTCTGTTCACAGCTCCCCACCTGCTCTGTCCCTTCCCCAGTTTCTGATTACAAATCTTGATATATTCTCAGAGTAGAAACCCTCCAACCTTGAAGCAACACACCTGTCAGGCTGAAAAAACGAACACCAGACGGTCACTGAAAATGACAACTGCAACAATTACGCACCCCTCCCCAGCATAAACCTATCCAGACAAATAAACATCTGTCACTTACTCTGTGATTTCCTCCGTGACCGTGTGTTCGACCTGGAGCCGGGAGTTGACCTCAATGAAGTAGTGTTTTCCATGTTTGTCCACTAGGAACTCCACCGTTCCTGCATTCTCATATCCCACCTGCAGCAGAAAAAAATAAAAAAAATCAAAAGACAATTTTTCCCAGTACCTCTCAGCTCAATAAATGCAATTAGAATCACAATTGAAGTCAGGTACAATGGATGGGCAGCGATTTGTCTCGGTATTGGTGCCCAGGATGATAATACCTTCCTTAATTGATGGTATGCAATACCGATGGGGCCAAAAAAAACTGCAGCCACATATAACAAAGTAGTATCCGTTTGTTGCTCTACATCCTCTAACATTTCTAAGTAATCATATACCTTATTTTGGTACTTTAGTATTGAATAAAAAAAATTGCAGTTCAATATTTAGTGTAGTAAATGTGCTCCATGTGAGCGATTAAAGGAAACTACTGAATGATACCAAAGTAGTGGTACTAACGAGCAGTGCATAATTATGACATGGGAAGAAAATGATTCACAGCTTTCACTCCTGAATGTGTAAAACAGAATGGTAGCAGATGTAACGCAGCAAGGAAAGCTGCTAATCCAGTGGACCATGAGGATAAACTGCTGAGTGGAACCAGACAATCACAGCTGTAAAACAAGCTGCATCAAATGTCTTTATCCACCATTTTCAGCTGTTGATCATTACTGTTCCTTAGGACTACGTTCTTAAAGATAATTCATAAAGTTGGTTATATTTTTTTTTAAAGCTTGCAATGTGTAGTAAAATTAACTGTTCTTTTGTTTGAACTGCGGTGTAACCTTTTTACTTGCTACCTTTCGGTATTAATGGAGGTCCTGTGAGGCATTAAGAGCTAAATGCTGTGAAAACCTTTTGTAATTCAAATATTTCTATTACCCTGAAAAAAAAAAACTTTTGAAGTCAACAACCTCAAAGATCTGAGACTTAATAGAACATTTCTCCCAATAAAAATTCTAGTATTTTAAAATAAAGTTTTTACAAAAGACAAAAGTGGTAATATTATGAGAAAAACATAAGGGGGAATATTTCCAGAATAGCCACAGTTTGCAGAACCATTTCAGTCCTGGAATGATAGGTTCAGGTTAAAATATTTTGATTATTTTTATTCTTTGTGAATATAAAAATCAGGAGAATGAAGGCAAAGGGATACGAAATATGTTTAAAGTCAGTAGGGAAACAGCTGTTCCAACCGTTACAATTCCGAATTCTCTCGAGTGGTGCCCCACTTTACACGAGTGAATAAAGTGAATGTGATTGGTCAATTATCAAGGGGGCGGGATTGTTGTGGCGGAAAGTTTTCAAGCATGTGGCTGGTTGTGGCTGGTTTATCAGAAGCATTTTGCTAACCAGTTAGCAACTTAGTGCTAGTAGGTTCCCAATGGGAAATTACATTGGGACCAGGTAGCACTTAGCAACGAAACTGTCAAGGAACGCTATGAACAGCGGAAACACGGAGTTTTGAGCTGGAGGTCGTGGATGAGTCTCTGCCGTCATACATTTTTTATTTAGAGGAGGAAAGTGGGGAAGAGGACGCCAGGGCGGCAGAAGCTTGGTTTGGTGTAGAAGGCTTACAGCCGTACATGTTTGAGCTCTTGCCTCGCAACGCTGCCAGTTCTGTTAGCTCTACGCCTGCTGAAGACAGACGTCCATCCCCGTCAACACTGGGACGGAACTCAATGGGAAAGTAAATTATTCTTATTCATTTCAACTGTTGCGTATATTAGCTGGGACATACGAATCAAGATGCTATAATGAAAAAAAATGCGATTGACAGATGACTGTTGATGTATGATTGGCCGAATTTAGATGTACAAGCTGACGGATAACTAACTGGCCTGCATAAAATAACGAGAACATTTTAAAAAACAGATTTTTAAGACAGGATTTTTTTTTATAGAAATTTTCAAAATTTTGCAACAATATAGTCAGATAAAGAGTACTTTTATACTACAAAAATAAAATAACGAATATAAAGTATATTCTGAGATTCAAGTCTCAACATGGTGGAGGCTTCGACTCATCCGCTGCATAGGCAGACCCTGTCCAATGAGGAGTCAATGTATACAGGTGCTGGTCATAAAATTAGAATATCATGAAAAAGTAGATTGATTTCAGTAATTCCATTTAAAAAGTGAAACTTGTATATTATATTCATACATTACATACAAACTCATATATTTCAGATTAATTAATTTTGATGATTACAAATGACAACAAATGAAAATCTCAAATTCATCATATCAGAAAATTAGAATATTACTGAAGACCAATAAAAACAAAGGATTCATAGAAATGTTGGCCAACTGAAAAGTATGAACATGAAAAGTATGAGCATGTACAGCACTCAGTATTTAGTTGGGCCTCCTTTGGCCTGTATTACTGCAGCAATGCGGCGTGGCATGGAGTCGATCAGTCTGTGGCACTGCTCAGGTGTTATGATAGCCCAGGTTGCTCTAATAGTGGCTTTTAGCTCTTCTGAATTGTTGGGTCTGGTGTATTGCATCTTCTTCTTCACAATACCCCATAGATTTTCTATGGGGTTAAGGTCAGGAGAGTTTGCTGGCCAATTAAGAACAGGGATACCATGGTCCTTCAACCAGGTACTGGTAGCTTTGGCACTGTGTGCAGGTGCCAAGTCCTGTTGGAAAATGAAATCTGCATCTCCAAAAAGTTGGTCAGCTGCAGGAAGCATGAAGTGCTCTAAAACTTCCTGGTATGTGGCTGCGTTGACCCTGGACCTCAGAAAACACAATGGACCAACACCAGCAGATGACATGGCACCCCAAACCATCACCGACTGTGGAAACTTTACACTGGACTTCAAGCAACGTGGATGAAGGGCCTCTCTTCTTTTCCTCCAGACTCTGGGACCTTGATTTCCAAAGGAAATGCAAAATTTACTTTCATCAGAGAACATGACTTTGGACCACTCACCAGCAGTCCAGTCCTGTTTCTCTTTAGCCCAGGCAAGACGCTTCTGACGCTGTCTGTGGTTCAAGAGTGGCTTGACACAAGGAATGCGACAGCAGAAACCCATGTCTTTCATACGTCTGTGTGTGGTGGTTCTTGAAGCACTCACTCCAGCTGCAGTCCACTCTTTGTGAATCTCCCCCACATTTTTGAATGGGTTTTGTTTCACAATCCTCTCCAGGGTGCGGTTATCTCTCTTGCTTGTACACTTTTTTCGACCACATCTTTTCCTTCCCTTCGCCTCTCTATTAATGTGCTTGGACACTGAGCTCTGTGAACAGCCAGCCTCTTTAGCGATGACCTTTTGTGTCTTGCCCTCCTTGTGCAAGGTGTCGATGGTCGTCTTTTGGACAACTGTCAAGTCAGCAGTCTTCCCCATGATTGTGTAGCCTATAGAACTAGACTGAAAGACCATTTAAAGGCTTTTGCAGGTGGTTTGAGTTAATTAGCTGATTAGAGTGTGGCACCAGGGGCCATCAATTTTGAACCTTTTCACAATATTCTAATTTTCTGATATGATGAATTTGAGATTTTCATTTGTTGTCATTTGTAATCATCAAAATTAAACAAAATAAACATCTGAAATATATGAGTTTGTATGTAATGTATGAATATAATATACAAGTTTCACTTTTTAAATGGAATTACTGAAATCAATCTACTTTTTCATGATATTCTAATTTTATGACCAGCACCTGTATAATACTTTGATCTGTTACTGTAGCCGTTCTCAATGTACAGACTTTGGTCCTGATCCAAACTGAAAGGTAGGAAAATCCTGACTCAGCCTGATTAAGTAGGAATCTTATTTTCTGCAGGTTTCCTTCTTCTTTCTGTAAATAGGGTGCTGCTTTGTTTCTGTATTCTTTTCATCTTAAACCCTCTCATTTTTTCCCCCTGAACATGTCTTTAATATCTGCAACAACAGTTATTTTCTAAAATGCCTCTCTTTTGCACAGCTAAACTTAATACATTTCCACATTATTTAGATTTAAATGTTCCTGTAAGCTCATTAATTTTGCTGATGGAAATTTTCCCACTATGGTACAATTTCAGTGTTGTTCTTCTATTGTACGTTTCCCAATAAACCATTCTGTTTTCGTGTTCACATCTCTGCATTTACAAAATATTACATTTTTGTTTGTTTGCGCGTGGACAGGGGGCTGTTAATCGGGGTAGAAACTTGAGGACCATCCAGTTAAAGAATGTCAACAATTATCTGGGTCAAAACCACTGAGAGTTTGTCAAAGCTCCCGATTTAATTTCATTCTCCTCTAAGCAAAGTTTAGCAAGCCTGGACGGTGCACTGCTGGTAGTTTAAAGACTAACATGCACTCTGATGCTAATGTTAACCACATACTTAAGAGTTTTAGATTTCTCCATTTCCAAATATGACAAAAAAAAAGTCAAAAGATCTTCTAAGTCAATGTTTCCAACTGTAATCTAGTGTCTCTTCAGCTCATCTAGTGTAGCGGGGGACTTAGTGTTCAGGCCAAAGCATACGATCTTTTCAAATTATAGGGGCAATCTTTTAGTTTCATTGTTTATATGTAGCTACTTGGACCACCACAGCCATTTTTTTACATTGCAAGGAAAAAATTACACTTAATGGAGCTTACACTTAATGGATATGGATTCCCTCTTCAGTCTGTACTGAATATTTATCAAAATGACAAAAATCCTTAGATTTTAAAGCATTTTCACAAAATGGAGTGACTGGTAAAAACAGATTGTGGCAGGATTATTTAAACCACCCCATCAGTAAAAATGGCTAACAACAAAAAAGTATAGCACTCTGTCAGTCTCTTACCTAATCTAAATGTGATGTGCCTCGTCAAAACATGGTACTAGTCCAATTCAAGGCTATTTTAGGTTATTTACTGCTCTGGGGTCTAAGCTTTCCAATTATATCATGAAAAAACAAAAAACTAACAAAATATAACAATTTAACTGTTTGCATTCTGCAAGAGTATTAAAAGTTGCTTTAAATGATTCTTTAAAGTCACTCTAGCCAGAAAAGGCTGTTAATTTTAATACTTTTCTTTGTATACCCAACCTCGTCCAGCAGTTCTTAGAGTCGTTATGTTGTCAAACTACAC